CGACATTTTTTTTAAAGATTTTTTTAAAAATCTTTATTAAATTTACACAGATTTTGAAATATACATCTGAGCTTCCCGAACTTCTCAACGATACTGCTCAACAGCGTACACAATGTCCAAGTACAAAGCACGCAGTCACACGTTCGTTTACATCAGGTTACACGATTCTTAGAATCCCTGTTTCCAATAACTTCACGAAAACTGACAGAAGAAATTGGACTGTGTATTTACATATTTTGTAGGCTGCTGTACAGCATTGTAGAGTACGTGGAGAAACGGTAGCCGAGTTCTCGAAATTTTCGGGAATCTGTCCCGACTCGTCTCGACCATCGGGTTCTCGCACACTCCCACTGCTAGACCATCATCGGTATCCTGCGGAGCACAACTATGCAGTTACCTGTGCCTTGACGTTTCCAGATTGGTCTCAGCAGTCTCAGCGTCTTCGGAAACGGAATTTCGGTCCACCATCTTCTCGCCCAAATGACATTTTCCTCTCAAATTTCGTCACTCTTCCGTTTGCTTCGCGTTGTTACAAATTAAAAGAGCTCGCGTAACGTTCAACTTGCCAATAAGATTGCAACGGCGTGCGTAGCTTGTTAATTTTTCGATTGCTCGCTGTATCAGCCACGCTACGATTGCCAATTACCAGAAAACGGTAAACTTATCCCCCCGTAGGAGGGAACGCGCATCGAGCGGGAAGATTAAAACGAACTTGTTAAAAGTCCAGTTAAGTTTGCACGTGCCTAATTACTTATTCCTGCATTAACTGCGCGCGTTTAGAATTCTCCGGCCGGCTCGCGAAATCATTTTAATTCGGTTACAGTCCGCGCACGGTCTGCAAAAATTCCTCCGCGTCCTCCCGTACATGAGGAATTCATCCCGAGGAGGAGAATGAAACCGAGAAGGGCCACGATTTGCAAAATTAATTGATCGAGCGCAGACAGGTAAGAATTAACGCGCGAGCAGCCACGGTAGGATCGTACGATTTCAACGGACAACGTGTTTGTCCGTTCAAGTTTCTCTCTCGTTTGTTGAAAATTTTCACCCTCGCGTATACATATACATATACATACATATATATGTATCCGTGATGGACACAATGGCCAGGACGGTGATTTTACTGTCTCGCGGCCGGCAGCTGTGTTAGCCAGACAACAACTTCGCCCCGTTCGCGAAGATGCCTCGACGGTAAATGACGTGACGTTATAAAGCCGACAATTCCGTGAAAACGTCTGACGGACAATGGGTACGTACGTGGTACGTACGTCCGATGAAGAGGACAGCTGCTGCGTGTACAAGCAATTATTTTCATCGGCAGAGGGGCAGTCGCGTGAACAAGATCGCCTCTCTGCCCGTCATTATTGTTTTTCTTTTTCTTCCTTTCTCCCCAAGGGAAATTTATTCATTCCCTCGTTGAATTTCCAACTAGCTTCGAAAATTAACTACGCGACTTTTCTTCTCTCCCTCTCTCTCTCTCTCTCTCTCTCTCGGCGTATCACGCGAGAACGAGCGAATACGTACGTGCAATAATTTACCTGAACGTAATAATTTCGTACGATTTCAGAAAAATAGCCGAGAATACGAATGAAAATGCATTGGAAAAGGTAGAAATACGAGTTAGTAGTAATAAAAAAAAAAAAAAGAAAAGGGAGGGAAGAGCGAGCGTGTTACGTAGGAAGAAAAATTAGTTTGAAAATTTAATGGGACGCTGGCAGATTTTTTAATCGTGACGGTATATATATCCGAATATCATACTCGTGAAACGAGCAACACTCAAAAAACGGTAAGAGCAGCTCCTAAAAATTGTCCCTCCCCTCCACCCTCGTTGAAAACTGGAATTTAACAGAGAACACGGATTTTTTGGAAATTATCCAAAACCATTTTTCGAGTGGATTTCAATTGCGCATGGCATTCCATTGGAAATATTTTAACTTTCCCCGTTTGAACGTTTTCACACGAAAGCGATCTTTGCCAAGCGCAGTTTTCCCTCCGCATCTTAATAAAAAACATATTTGAAACTCCCGCTGGAAGCGCGTGTATTATTCATTAGAAATATTCAGTCAATGAGCCATACGAATAAGTGAAATATCACAATTATACGCGATTCCGTGTAGTACGCAAACGAGATATCTCGCTTTGTTCGCGAAATTATTGGAAAATCGATAGTAACGCGTCCACCATTCCATTTCTTTTTTTTCCTTTTTTTTTTTCATGCGCCGTAGTATATATGAATTTTAATATTACACGTTAATATCACGCGTTACACATTCGCGCGAAAATGTCGTACATTTTCTACCGAGCTATCCGACCGGTGAAAAATAACCCTGTGACTTTTGCAACAGTAAATTTATCTTAATAAGCAAATACGAAAGACTGGAAATATTTTTCGACGCGGTAACAGCGAAACAAAGGTACGGAAAAAGAGAGAGAGAGAGAGAGAGCGAAAGAAGAAAGGGAATTCGAAATCAGTATTTCGATCAAAAACGCTGCATAGTAAATCTTGCTTAATATTTCCAAACAGGCCAATTTCGCGTTTGTCCACTGGCCTGAACGAGCCATGGATGGCAACACAGGGAAGGCTGAAGGGGACAACTATATTTTCCAAACGACGGGACGAAAATTTTTCGAAACGATGGTCGGAAAATGAACGTCGTTATTCCTTTCAATTTGCCGCCGAACTAAAAAAAAAAGAAGAAAAAAAAAAATAGCAACAACGCGGCAACAGTCGAACCTCGACATTCCGCCGCGTGTTTCGCCAGAAATTTTAAACGTCACGCGAGAACCGCCGCGCCGGGGCAAATTTGTTCTCCCTGCTGCGTGAAACATCGCGATGAAAAACGGCTTGATCGTTAAATTTCAACCGATCACGGTTTGTTGCATTGCGTCGATCGACAACGAGAGAGAGAGAGAGAGAGACTCCATGCCTTCGTCTAGCCAATCGGACGCAGCCCTCCTCGTGTCTCGTCCAAAGTTTAGCATCTAAACAATCATTGTTCCTCGGTCCACTTTGCTTACGGACTTCGGTACCAGTTGCCCAGAGTTGGCTGGCTCGTTTTCTTTGGCCCGGCAGATCGTGAAACCAGACGCGGTCACCGATGGAATTTTCCCTGGTGGAATTCCGTCCTCCCATCCACGGGACAATGTCCTCAAAGCGTGCAAATCAACAGCTACACACTGCTTGCTGCGAAATCACGCAGGTACCGCGGTTCCTTCAATTCCAGACGACTGATCGGACGACGAACGTGTTAAATAAAATTGATCCATCGTGTTTTCGTTCCAATATGCTGTCCTCCCGCTCCATTGATCGCAAATACATATTGAACAGACATTGAGAACAGAGAAAATACAAAACCCTCCAACCTCTAACCTATCCTGAATGTTCTGAAAGACACGCTCGCAGTACCGATCCGATGAAATATTCACGTTAATGTCTCTTTGCTACGCTCTTGCTCTGTATTACCGCTCTATTATACTTCACCGATAAAGATAAAATTCGAATAAAAATTTAACAAGAGTATCTTCCCATTATAACGACACTCGTTTCTTCCATCCACAATTATATTAAATAATCGTATCGAATATGAGATAAAACTCTGCTGATAATATTAAATTCATAAGAGCTTCGATATGTTGATTCATAAAAAATAATTACTAAAATTATTCTTACAAATAGTACATTCAGATGAAAGAAAACGAAAATAAATAAACACGTTTTCGTGAAATTTCCACTGTCGTTTATACCTTGTCCCTTATACACCGAACGCTGAAGCACGTTTGGCGAATTTTTGTCAAAATCGGTGGGAGTTTCGTCGGAATACAAAGAAGGAGAAACAAGCAAGCAATTTGCGAAAGCAGAGGGATCCTCTGGACGTTTCTTCGACGTTGATTTAATCGGTCTAAACGACACGGAATCGCGGGTGGAGGGGGATTAGCCAAGCGATTCGGCGCGTTCTTTCGGCGAGCTGAGAGGCTCTCGGAATTTCGTGGTCACGTACGCCGCGTAAAACACGATCTCGGCACGTTACCAGAGACGAGTAGAGAAGCTCGACGCGACGAGCAGGCCAGTTAGATCGAGTTTAGCATTTGTTTGGCGCTGTTCTTAAGCCGATCCCCCCACCGGTTCGAATCAGCAACGACGACGACGACAGGATCAAGAGCAGCAGCACCTCGAACGAAACGCGACCTCTCCGTCTACGTGGCAGATTTATGCGCGAATCGCGACCAACTTTCTCGTCGGAGGCGCGATCTCCAGGCTTAGGCCAGCTGCCAAGTTCCGATCCGCGACGTTACAGATTTTTTGGCGCCGTTTTTTTTTTTTTCTTATCTATCAGGCCGATCGATCGACATCCCAATTTTCCACGAATTTCATCTTTCTACGCGCAATTCTTTGCAACAGCTTCTGCAACATTCACGTGGCCTCTGATCTTTTTTCAAATATGAATAAGAAAATGAAGTTTCAGTTGTTTAATACTGTTGTAATTTGGTATTGGGTATTTATTTAATGAAACACGGATATTCGATTTTTTTTAAGGATTTTATAGCTTATAGCTGGAGATTTGCTCTCAGATCTATACGATATGACTTTCAACGAGGGTTTTTCCAGACCCTTCTCCCAACGCAGTCCACACACATACACACGCATAAGACAAGCAGCTCAACACTAATATACAACATACGCATGCGCACGCACAATAGATGATTTATAGTGATTCCTAATGGGTGGTTTCTTTTTTTTAATCGACGATCGCCCGTCATTATCGAATGTCAGCAAACGGGATCTTATTACGCGCGCGTAGTATCAGCATCAGTTTACAGCGAATAGTTTCCAAAATTAAACTTTAATCCGCCAATCGCGGTGATGGCATCGACGATTGTAATTAATTAAATTAATAATTGAACCGACGTGTAATATAGCGACAGCCGAACAATGTATTTATATATATATATATATATATATATATATATATTAACGATAGTTGGAGAAAGTACGGTTCACTCACCAATCGTTGCCAGTTTTGGTCACATTCTGCCGTTTGCGTCCGGTTTGATGAGGTTTCGGTTCGGCCACCATGTTGACATCTGCAACAGAAATGATAAAGGCATGTGTAATACTGTCCAATTTAACGTCCCATTTAACATATTCGAGAAGAAAAAGAAAAGAGAGACAGACAGAGAGAGAAAGAGAGAGAGAAGGATTTAGGTGAGAAAGCGCTTGCTCGAACGATGGATAGAGGATTCAAAGTTTCATAAATTTAATCCCTCTTTGTTTTAAGCTTTAAATTTTCGGTATTAACGGTAACCAGAGTTCGCTTGAAACACCGCGTGCTAAATACCGCGTGCCGCACGGTCGTTTATCGTTAAAAAGAGAAGCAATTGTCGCGCGTGTAACAGCGGACTCGCGATAGAAATCTGTCTCCTGATTTAATAGCCGGCTTAAATTAATAAAGCGGACGGCTGCATAGGGGCTTAACGTGTCCGCAAACAGTTATTAATTTCATCCCTTTGCGGCGTGTTCCCGCGCCGCGCTAAGGTGGATAATGGATGCTCGTTCGAGTGATCAGAACAGTTGAGCCGTTGTGTCAGCGAATTATCCATTCTTCTCTGTCTTTCCTCGGAGTATAAAAAAGAAAGAAAAAAAGAAAGAAAAAAGAAAAGGATATAACTATTCTCTACGTTGCGCTGAATAGACATCGCGGATTTCGTTCACGGAAACCGTATTTCGACGTGGAAGCTGTTTACCACCGTGAATTACCTCCAAACAAATCGATCATCAATCATGAAATTATCGTGGGAATCTAAACATCTATCGATCCGTTTCGCGCTCGACGTCGTCTCGATCCAACCTGCTCAATTTATCGATTTAATCTAAGTTCTTTCGACGTTGTAAAATATTTCACCGCTCGTTTGAGTAATTTCTTTTAGTGGTTATGTTGCTCCTTTAGTTGGAGATTAGGCACAAGTAATTAGGTCATATTGGTTCCATTCTGTAACTGTTTTCTAATTCTCGTTATAGAAAAGTAGGAAAAAATGTTTCAAATAAGACTGACTTCGTTTCAAGAGGGACATTTTACTATAAATTTCATCTAGATCACTGTGCCTCCACAATTTCTAGATGATCTTCGTTTTTTTCTTCAATGAAATTGTATATTTTCGGACGAACGTGTAATCCATTTCATTTAATTATGATTTAAATATGTCGACATTCTGATAAATAGTTCTTAAATAGTATTTAAATCCTCCTTCGCTAGTGGACGGATTTAAATCACCAGGCAAAGTTTAATTTTACATGTTTTCATATAAATCATTGTAGTTCTTTCATTTTCAAAGTTAATCAAATCAAATAAAGACTCAAGCTACAAGAAGAGAGAGGCCGTCGAATGTCGATATATCGGACATTCGGTTTTCTCAGATATTATATAGGTGTCGATGTATTGAACGTTAGCATTTAAAAGGTTAAAGAAAAAGAAAGAAAAGACGAAGATCACCTCGAAATCTCAAATTCAAAAGCACGTTCGCGGCACATCGCCAACATGAGAAATTAGTTACGCCGTCGTTAGTTAGCAGCCACTGTTTCTCTATTATCGAAAATGATGATTTTCTGCTGACGGGGAGAGCACAAACATAATCTTAGACAGGACCAACCGAGCCAGCTGACACCAGCGGGTGTGTAGCCAGCACGAAACACGACGCAAGACCCATCCTTTGTTTAACCTAACCAAACACGTCGTACGGACAGAATCACGAGGGTGTGCACACAATCCCGCTATGGCTAAAAGTCAGCTCGATTATGATGGCTACTTGCACGCGCAACGGAAGGGAATTGTTTGCACGCTGCTTGCTGCAAATGATCTGTTCATTTTTTCAAGTTCAACGATATGCAACGTGGTTAACGTGGCAAGGGAATATAATATCTCGCGAAGCGTTTCATCGCGGATCTTCGATGAATAAAAATTATCACGATCCGGCATTAATATCTGGAAATCAGGATCTCCCTCTCTTACCTTTTTTTCCGAAGAATTATTCATAGTCTTTCGACCACAATTACGGAGCAGCACTCGCAGACATTTCATCCGCGGAATATTAATGTTTGAATAATTTCTGTTTTCTGCGTGGTCGTAAACTAATCTCTACGGCAGCATGTATTTACTTGTGCCGTTGTTTACCGAGTGCATACAATGGCTGCACGTTGCAAATGCAATACACAAATGTGTATTAAATCAGAATAATCGTTAGCAGTTGATGCGGAATTAATGTAAATGAACACGTTAATATTAGTTGACACACGTTCTACGTAAAATAACGCGATAAACGTGCATATTGACGTACTACATAAAGGTATTACAGTAATTAGACAGAAATGAACTACACGGCAAATGCGTTCACTTTTATGACGCCTGAATCAATCTTCTGTTCTCTCTCTGTTCCAGAGCATCGCGCTTCAATTTATACAGGCATCCCCGAATTTTCATGTCGAAAACTTTGGGCGAGCAGCGGATTGATAAACCACAGAGAAAAGTTTCTTCCTCCATTTTTCAAAAAAATTTTCCATCTTATCATCTTGTAATATCATCGATTATCGTCTATATGTCGTAACGAAGATGTTATTCCAGACGGTTGCCTTTCGCAGCAACGCAAGCATTACGTCGAACATCGACCACTCTGATTGCAGCTAGACGTTGTTCTAATAACGTTCGATGTATCAAACCGCTGTTTGATCTCTCAGTTGCTCACCACAGAGTTGATCGACCGAGTTGAACAAACTTAGACCGAAACCTTTTTTTTTTTTGTTTCTCTTTCCTCGAAAATAGTACAAAAACGAGCAAATCCCTAAACGACAAATTCCTCCCCCTCGACTCGTCGATCTTCCGGCGCGCCCTCGCCAAGTTTTGACATTTAAATTCGGGACACTCTGTATATTTACGAAGTTTGACTTCATTCGGAAACGATAAGACATCAGAGAGAGAGAGAGAGAGAGAGAGAGAGAGAGAGGAGACACGTATCGACCAATCCTTGCTGAATATTTTCCGCAGTGGAGTAAAAAGTTGGTAGATAAACCATGGTTCTGAACCAACGCGTATCGAGCTCGAAGAAAATTCGAATTGGCGAACGCTCGGCCACGTTGAAACAGCCAGAGACAGCCCGATAAGAATTATCTGAGCGGGGCCCGGCGTTGCCTAAAACAGAAGAGAGCTGCATCGCCAGCCAGAGAGAGAAAGAGAGAGAGAAAGAGAGAGAGAGAGGCGCTTAACTTCCGCGAATGTTTTACCAAACGAGCTTCCATAATCCTGGTTAAATATCCTCCACGTCGTTCCCGAATGCCCGGATCTCGCCTCCCCAGTTGACTTTTCCCCGACCGTGCGATCCGCGATATGCATAAAAATGCCATTCAGCCGCGAGATTTCAACTCCTCTCCGCTACGAATGACCGTTCCCATCGAATGAAATTATTTCGACTGGCTCCGTCTCTCTGTAACTGCCGCCGCGGAATATAAATGTGACGAGTAATACCGAGTCCGGACTGATACCCTAGAAGCGCGTAGGATATATATATATATATATATATATATATATATATATATATATATATATATATATATATATATATATATATATATTTTACAAAGAAATCCGCGCGCTGACGCTAATTTTCCACGAACGTTTCAACACTCGCGCGGACTTAAATCGCGCGAAACGCTTTTTTGAAATTAGAGAAAGAATCCTATCGATTACGGGGGTACGCGAGGATCTGTTTTTTTAATTTTCTTCTCAAAGGTGAATGATAATTTTGTCAAACGGCATTGAAAACAATTAAAATTCTTCAGTATCGGATAATACCATCACGAGAAGTGCAATTGTATAATTTTTCGACAAAGAATCGAATTAATAAAGATACTTCAACGATTGAAGAATCTGCAGATCGTTTTGAAACGAAAAGCATTTTGTGTAAGAAATTCTGATTACAATATACGTAATATATTACAATATATTCATGTTGTGCCATTGACAATATATACTCTGAAATTATTATTATACTTGTTTTTATCAAATGAACGACATCTTTCTTACGTGCAGTGTTTTTCTTCCGTTTTATCAACATGTACAAGTGACTTTTCGCAATACATTTTGTGTTATTAAAAAGAGAAAGTAGAAATACGGTAATATTTTTGTATTTTAGGGTCAAAATGACAGCACATTTAGAAGAAAAAAGAAATAAGTTTGATAATTGTTTAATACTTGGCACGACCTCCTTTCCATTTAATAACGTCAGCCATTCTTCGAGACAAAGATTTACACGAATATTTTAATCATCTTTTGGTTTTATTCTTCTCATTCCTCCACATATTTTTTTAATTCATTAATACTTACCAATCGTCTTCCATTCTGATATACAGCTCTCGCCAAATTCCCCCCCCCCCCCCCCCTCCCCAATAATTTCCTATAATATTCAAGTATTCGGAGTATTCTCTAATATTCACTGTTTCGTTAAGCTATTTCACTGAACAACGTTCTTCGTTCGATTTCTATATCGCGTGGATTTCACTTTCTTCCGCGACTCATTTTTAGAAATGTTAAAACGCACTTAACCGACTGTATTTCACGCGAATGTTACGCTTACGATAGCTTCCGTACGACTGACGAGCGTAAATATTCGACTTGTTCGCCTCGCGATCGCCGATAATATTTACACTTTCGTTTCTGTAATTCTGAGAAACTACGTGTCTCGGTGATGACATTCAACATGTTATACTACACATACATATGTACACCCATGTCCAGTGTTCCAAGAAAACTGACGTAATTCACAAATTCCCTCCACACCGTGACAACAATTATATTGTTGGATTTCATGTAAAGAAACGACACTTAATATTTTTAAGAGTTTTTTTTTTTTTTTATTTTACTGTTGGATTCCGTGTAATGGACTCAACACGCTTATAATTTCGAAGAGTTTATTCCTTGTTACAGTCGGGGTCGTGTATGAAATAGAACGATTTAGAATGTTCTTGTATAATATAGAATATGATGTAGAATGTCTTTATAATGATGTAGAATCTCTAATGCTATGGAATGTCTCTAAAG